GCGGGCCCTTGATCAGAGGGAGCAAGCCGTCCGACCCCACCGCTAACTTCACGTTGAAAGTGCGGATAATGGTGTCGCCGATTGGAATCCATTAGCCCACTTTGAGCAGGTTTGCACAATACGAATGCACGGTTGTCGATCCGACCTTGCGAGATGACGCTCGCAATAGCGCGCGCGGCGCGCGTGTTTCGTTTGCGCCACTCTTGCTGCACGAAACACGGACGCGTGTTTTGACAGCAATTCGGAAGATGGCGCAAGCCGAATGGCCCTCGCACGCGAGCGCCTTCGACGCCCCGTCGTCGTCCCACCCCTTGACCACCAGGATGCCCAACAAGTCGTGGACGTCGAACGGTGCGAGTCCGGCCTCGTCGCGGCTGCCGGGGTGCACCCCCGCCTTCATCGCGTGCGCGTACTTCGACTCGCACAAGTCGCAACCCTTGATGGCTCCGAGGAGCCTGGCCTGAATTGCAGAGACGCCCTCGAGTTCCTGGCCAGCGTAGTACAGCTGAATCTGCTTATTGATGGGCCGCGCCAACGCGGCGGCGCGCTATTCCTTGTTCCGCTCCGACTTCACGCCAGCAGCGCTGGCCTTACTTACACATGCGCGCGTCGCGCGACACTCTCCACGCGAGCGAAGCTCGCCATTGGACAACGTTTGCATTATGCGAGCATACTCGCCAACGTTGCAACGCCACAGCATACCGCGTCGCGCGAGCAAAGCTCGCCGCGGAAGCTAAGGCGGATACATCCCACGCGGCCTTGGTTGCGTCCTTCGACTTCGCCATAACTATCGCGACGCGACTGTTATAGCTCGGGCAATGGCGGCAAGGGCGGCAATGGCTGCGGCCTTCGTGCCAAAACCGCTATAAAGCATAACCGATGTCATTGATATCATCGTCGTCCTCTTCCACCTGCACGCGTCAGCGAGCGAGCGATGCTCGCGATACAACGGCATGATCAAGCCCATTGGTTTTCCGAGGCGAGCATGCTCGCGATGCAGAAATGTGAGATCTGCCAGTGTAGAACAACATAAAAAATTATCCTGGCGATAGACCCAACCATATGCAATCGTGAATATTGCACTTGTGAATGTCTTCTCGGTGGAGCCCCCTACGGGGCCACGAAACGTACGAGGGGTGTGCCGAAATGGGTGTGCGGGACGCATGCGGGCACACCCACTAGGGCCTTCGGTGGAGCTCCCTATGCGGCCACGAAACGTGTGAGGGAGTTGACGAAATTGGTGTGTCTGACGCATGCGGGCGCGGGCACTGAGGCCTTCGGTGGAGCTCCCCATGGGACCACGAAACGTTTGAGGGGTGTGCCGAAATGGGTGTGGTTGACGCATGCGGGCGCGGGCACTGGGGCCGAGGGGTGTGCCGGCATGGGTGTGCGGGACGCATGCGGGCACACCCACTGGGACCTTCGGCGGGGCTCCCTATGGGGCCACGGAACGCGTGAGGGGCGTGCCGAAATGGGTGTGGCTGACGCATGCGGCGCGGGCACTGGGCCTTCGGCGGAAGCTCTTTATGGGCCACGAGCGTGTGAGGGGTGTGCCGAAAAATGGGCGTGGCTGACGCATGCGGGCGCGGCACTGGGGCCTTCGGTGGGGCTCCCTAATGGGCCACGAAGCGGAGAGAGGCGTGCAGAAATGGGTGTGGGTGACGCATGTGGGCGCGGGCACTGGGGCCTTCGGTGGAGCTCCCTATGGAGCCACGAAACGCGTGAGGGGTGTGCCGAAATGGGCGTGGCCGACGCATGCGGGCGCGGGCACGGGAGCCTTCGGTGGAGCTCCCTATGGAGCCACGAAGCGTGTGAGGGGTGTGCCGAAATGTGCGTGGGTGACGCATGCGGGCGCGGGCACTGGGGCCTTCGGCGGAGCTTCTACTATGGGGCCACGAAACGTGTGAGGGGTGTGCCGAATTGTGTGTGGGTGACGCATGCCGGCGGCAGCACTGGGGCCTTCGGCGGAGCTCCTATGGGGCCACGAAACGTGTGAGGGGTGTGCCGAACTGGATGTGGGTGACGCATGCGGGCGGCAGCACTGGGCGCCTTCGGCGGAGCTTCCTATAGGGCCACGAAACGTGTGAGGGGTGTGGCCGAAATGGTGTGGGTGACGCATGCCGGCGCGGGCACTGTGCCGGGCGCGGGCACTGTGCCTTCGGTGGCGGCTTTCCCTATGGAGCCACGAGGGTGTGAGGGTTGTGTCGAAATATGTGTGGCTGACGCATGCGGGCGCGGGCACTGGGGCCTTCGGGTGGGAAGCTCCTATGGGGCCAGTGAACGCGTGAGGGGGTGAGGGTGTGGCCGAAATGTGTTGGTGACGCAATGCGGGGCGGGCACGGGGCCTCGGTGAGCTCCCTATGGGGGCCAAGAACGTGTTACGGGGTGTGGCCGAAATGGGTGTGGCTGACGCATGCGGGCGCGGGCACTGGGGCCTTCGGTGGAGCTCCCTATGGAGCCACGAAGCGTGTGAGGGGTGTGCCGAAATCGGTGTGGCTGACGCATGTGGGCGTGGGCACTGGGGCCTTCGGTGGAGCTCCCTATGGGGCCACGAAACGTGTGAGGGGTGTGCCGAAATGGGTGTGGCTGACGCATGCGGGCGCGGGCACTGGGGCCTTCGGTGGAGCTCCCTATGGAGCCACGAAGCGTGTGAGGGGTGGGCCGAAAATGGGGGTGGGTGACGCATGCGGGGCGCGGGCACTTGGGCCTTCGGTGGAGCTCCCTATGGAGCCACGAAAACGTGTGAAGGGGTTGTGCCGAATTGGTGTGGGTGACGCATGCGGGCGCGGGCTTTGGGTCTTCGGTGGAGCTCCTATGGGGCTACGAAGCGCTGTACTGGGTGGGTGAAACGCAGGGAAGAGGGGGAGGAGGGAGAAGGAGGATGAGGAGGATGAGGAGGAGGAGGAGGAGAGGAAAGGAGAGGAGAGGAGAGGAGAGGAGAGGAGAGGAGAGGAGAGGAGAGGAGAGGAGAGGAACGCGGGGCACCGTCTCTTCAAAACGAAGACCCAACACCACAGGATGGTTGGGAAAAATTAGCATGGCGAATAACCCAACCGTATGCAGTTGTCAGTACCGCAGCTGCGGGTTTCATCTTCCATGGAACTCCCCATAGGACTACGGAACGTGTGACGGGTGTGCCGAGATGGGTGCCACTGGGGCATTCGGCGAAGCTCCCTATGGGGACATGAAACACGCGCGGGGCGTGCCGACATGGGTGGCGGAAACGCATGTGAGGGCCGCCACTGGGGCCTCCAGTGGAGCTCCCTATGGATCCCCGAAACATGATGCTGCTGCGGGGGGGGGTGCCCGGATGGGTCGCGGAGACGCATGTAAGCGCCGCTACTGGGGCCTTCGGTGGAGCTCCCTATGGGGCCACGAAGCGCGTGAGGGGTGTACTGGGATGTGTGGCGGGGACGCATGTGAGCGCCGCCGCTGGGGCCTTCGGAGCAGCTCTCTATGGGGCCACGAAACGTGTGAGGGGTGTGCCAAATTGGGTGCGGGTGGTGACGCATGCGGGCGGCAGCACTGGGGCCTTCGGTGGAGCTCACCATGGGGCCACGAAACCTGTTGTTGTGAGGGGCGTGCCGGGATTGGTGGCGGGGGCGCATGTGAGCGCGGCCGCTGGGGCCTTCGGTGGAGCTCCCTATGGGGCCGCGAAACGTGTGAGGGGTGTGCCGAATTGGGTGGGTGTGGGTGACGCATGTGAGCGCCGCCACTGGGGCCTCCGGTGGATGATGGGGCCACGAAACCTGTCAGGGATGTGCCGAAATGGGTGTGCGGGACGCATGCGCATGTGAGCGCCGCCACTGGGGCCTTCGGTGGGGCTCCCTATGGGGCCACGAAACGCGTGAGGGGTGTGCCGAATTGGGTGTGCGTGACGCATGCGGTCGGCAGCACTGGGGCCTTCGGTGGGGCTCCCTATGGGGCCACGAAACGTGTGAGGGGTGTGCCGAATTGGGTGTGCGGGGCGCATGCGGGCGGCAGCACTGGGGCCTTCTGTGGGGCTCCCTATGGGGCCACGAAACGTGTGAGGGGTGTGCCGAATTGGGCGTGCGGGACCCATGCGGGCGGCAGCACTGGGGCCTTCGGCGGAGATCCTATGGGGCCACGAAACGTGTGAGGGGTGTGCCGAATTGGGTGTGGGTGACGCATGCGGGCGGCAGCACTGGGGCCTTCGGCGGAGCTTCTGCAGGCGGCAGCACTGGGGCCTTCGGCGGAGCTCCTAGGGGGCCACGAAGGGTGTGAGGGGTGTGCCGAATTGGATGTGGGTGACGCATGCGGGCGGCAGCACTGGGGCCTTCGGTGGAGTTCACTATGGAGCCACGAAAAGTGTGAGGGGTGTGCCGAAATTGGTGTGGGTGACGCATGCGGGCGCGGGCACTGGGGCCTTCGGTGGAGCTCCCTATGGAGCCACGAAACGTGTGAGGGGTGTGCCGACATGGGTGTGGGTGACGCATGCGGGCGCGGGCACTGGGGCCTTCGGCGGAGCTCCCTATGGAGCCACGAAGCGTGTGAGGGGTGTGCCGAATTTAGAGGGCAGAAAATCCACCCCGACAATAACCACCCCGACACGCGAAGCAGTTTAGTAAACGCACCCAAAAAAGGAATCGAACGGGGCAGGGATGTTTAGTAAACGCCCAGGGCCGTTTAGTAAACGCCAATTGTCCGGTCCGGGTGGTTTTTCCTCCCTTGAGAATTGTGTGGGTGACGCATGCGGGCGCGGGCACTGGGGCCTTCGGTGGAGCTCCCTATGGAGCCAGGAAGCGTGCGAGGGGTGTGCCGAAATGGGTGTGGGTGACGCATGCGGGCGCGGGCACTGGGGCCTTCGGTGGAGCTCCCTATGGAGCCACGAAGCGT